TGTTTGATAGGCACTAGTTGTTAGTGCATAAGTGTACATTTTTATTATCATTTGTAATATCTATTTACTAGTATTGTACAAATTTATAGTTGTTAGTTTACATTTGATTATAATCATATTTCTAGCTTTTTATTGTTTGTTGTAAGTTGTAGTTAGTTTGGTTTTAAGTTTAGGATAGGTTTGGAAGCAAAAAGGATGAAGAAACCTGAGTTTTGTGCAAAAACCCGGTCGGGTATGGATTTTACTCGGCCGGGTATGAAGTGACAAAGGAAACTGCTGCAAACTAGCAAATACCCGGCCGGGTATTCCATATACCCGGTCGGGTATTCTGTGATTTCGGACCAAAGGATGTGCAGAAGACACAAAAACATGGGAAAATATTTGATTAGGTAAATATCCGGTCGGGTATGTCAAAATACCCGGCCGGGTATCCGGCATTAGGTGTTGAAAACACCTATAAATAGTCCCATTTTCCTTCACATTTCATCATCCCTTCTTCCAATCTCTTTAGCTCAGTTTAGAATAGCATTTCTTTATATTTTTCTAGCTATGTTTAGCCTCCAAATGAGGAGCTAAACTCCCATTCTTGGTTTTGCTCTTGAAGCTTGTTGATTATTAAAGTTGAGAGTTATTTTCTTAACTTCTTCTCTTGATTATTAATTCTTCCCTTAATCTCATTTTATATTAATGTTGGAGGGTTGCTAAGTGACGATTAGTTAACGTTCCGACATTAATTACTACTAGAAACGATCAACGAACCGATGGTTAATCGTTGGTGGTTTCACAAGTAAGTAACTTCGGTTTATTAATGCACGGTCGTGGTTAATAGACTTAAGAGGGATCAATTTTGTTGGTTAAACCGAAACCGTTGTGTTAAGGTTATCAACCTCAATTGATTTCATCAAGGAGTTAAAAATATTGAATGCTACTATTATATCGGTATACGGCGTTGTCCTATATTTGATTAATAGTAAGGGTTATTAATGAACGGTCGTTCTTAATAACTACCCTTGATGAATTGGAGATACTCCTCGATTGAGTATTCGAGAGGGGATAAGTTATAGATATAACGAGGATCGACTAAAATATATCAACAAGTGGAAAGTAGCAAAGCCAAGTCCCTTTTATTCTTGAATTAAACACATATAGGTTGTTCATCTTAGTTTCTTAATTGAATCAAATCACTCAAAACCAAAACCCCCCTTTTTAATTACTAGTTTCATAGAAACAAAATCATTCCTTTCCCTGTGGATACGAACTCTACTACGCTATACTACGTATAAGTGTTTAGTACTGAATTTATTTTGACGCACCGTGACAAAGTGCTCGTCAGTGCACTCCTTGATGGCTATGTTCTTATTTCGGCCCTCCGGTATCTTGGCCAGGATCCTCCCATCCTTCTCGAGGGCGGCGCTCCTCACTTCTCGTGCCGTCTAAACCGATCACGCAGCTCCCTTGGGAAGGGGCTCTCAGCTAGTCTGACGTAGCACCATCGCTCCTTCCAGCCTTTGTTCGAGGAGGGCGCCTCGGTGAATAGCTTGAACAGGGCCACCTGCTACAAGTTCGCGAAGCCCTCGGCATTCACGTGACACCCCCGGCAGAGGTTGAAACTCTGGAAGAACAGATCTAGGCCTGGGGTCACCCCTCGGAACCGGTAAAGGTTCAGAAAGCCCGCCACGTATGAGTGGCTATTGGGCGTCAGTTGGCAGGGGACCAAACCCACGTACCTGAGGTATTCCCGAAGGAATGGGTGCAGGGGGAACTGGAGACCCATGGAAACAGAGAGGATGTGGACGGTGATGCAACCCTCGGGAGCCCGGGAGAGCACATCATCAGGACCCGGCGCCACCACTACGGCTGAAGGCCCCACATACAACTGAGTGACGTAGAAATCCGCCTCATCAGCCTTCGACTTTATCTCGAGGGTGGCGGTATTCAGGTAGGAGTACCCCACGGGCATGTCGATGGGCTTCTCTTGGTCTGCAACGCTGCCTTTCTTTTAGGACGCACCTGCCTTCGTCTTCTTCTTCCCGGGGGCCACCCGGAGAGGGACCGGGTTCAATGGCCGAGAGGTGCTGGCTTCACCAGCGTCGCGAGGGGGAAGAATAGCAACAGTGACCCTCATGCTTTCTCTCTGCGCCTCTTCCTCAGCCACCTGCCAGGCGACGGCCATTTCTTCATCCTCGCATTCCTGTTTGAAGCCCTCGGCTTCCACCTCGGCGAAGAGGGCTCTCTGCAACTCCATCGATATGGCAACATCATGCCCTACCTAGGGCTGTTCACTTGTGGACTCCACGTCAGAGACGGTTTCCTCCTCTATCGAGGGCTCCCTCGATATGTCTTGAGAGTCACTTTGTGAAGACATTGTAACACTAGGTCGAGGGTTTGGAGATGCTAAGTGCTCTAAGCTACAACTCCTAAGTCTAAGGCCACTAAGCACATCTAGCTAAAAAGGGTGAAGGACAAGTGAGGAACTGACCTTGGAATCGAGGGCAGAAGTTTCTCTCTCTAGAAAATTTGGTAGGGCTCCGCTAACAACAATGATCGCACAAGGGGGAAGACCTCTGGCCTTGGGTATTTATAGGCACCACAAATCCGGGCTTGGGCCGGAAACCGGGCCTCCGGTTGAAAAGCCATCATTATAAACCGTCGAATTGCCCAATCGGTGACATCCGCCCACAGGCAGCCAACGAACGCGCACCACATGGAAGCCCTCCCCCAACGGCTATATTTCTGACGTTAGGAATTCTAACGGATCTATTTACAACGGCTATATTCTGGGAGCTCCCGGCTACATTCGGCAGACCACTCCTTCATCAACCAGGAAACTAGCCCCCGAGCTTTCTACTTCACTCCACTTCATCAAGAGGAGCCCCCGGGTACACTTACCCAGAGATGCTCCCGGTTTATGCCCATCATACTACATCACAAAGGCCTTCAGGCTTACTCCCTCAGAAGCCCACGACTTCATAATGGGCACACCCCTCGGGAACCATCGGCCCTCAAATACATTGAGGACCACGAAGCCCCCGGGGGAGCACGCCTTCATCAAAAGGCGCCCTCCACTCACCAACGAACAAGGGACCCCTCGGCAACACCGGAAACATCACCCACATTCATCACGCCCTCATTCTCATAATTTGGGGGCTCCCCCTTCGGCATCTCTCAGGATTACAACAGGGACCCTTCGGGAAATCAACACACGCGCCTTCAGAAAGAGATAGCCTTCGGCAAAAAAATTGCCACTCATTCCAAGCCAGGATTTCACCTTTTCGACTCATCATTGGGGGAATTTGGTGCACTCTTTTTCCCTCATTGGAATTTTTTCCCACTGGGTTTTTTTCAATGAGGTTTTTAACGAGGCATCCCCCCAAAATGAAACGAAAAGCATCACCCCTCGGCTTCATATTACAGGCAGGCACTACTCTACTCCTTTTCACCACTTTGCAAGTGCCTCAAGGAGTGGGGGACTGGAGGACTGGAGGACCCCTTCGGGGAAAATCTCAAAATAACAAAAAATGTCAAAAACTTCCACAACAACGAGCATGATCCCTCAAGTCTCGGAATGTGGATAACTGAGGGACTGCCCTCGGCTGAAACATGCACACAACAAACTACTCACAAACTCCACAAACTACAACGGAACAACACCAAAAGGACAAACACAGATTACTCCTTTTCCCTCAAGTACCTTTCGGCAAAAGGAGTGAGGGACTCCTGATGGAGTATATGGCCCAGGAACCCCCGACCCATAGACTCCTGCTATTCTGACAGAGGCCCAATAGGCCCAGGGAGCACAGCAGACCCAAAACACAGCGCCCCAAGTGCTAAACAACCCACGTAGCACGCTGGTTCCGCCTTCGGCCCCCTAGCCGAAGGCTCCAATTCTCACAGGACGGCCAGCTCAAGCAAACAAAGTTACTGGGAGAAAACGGTGAAAATCAGTAGCCCTCGGCACCTAGAGCCCTCGGTACTAAGGGGGTCCCCGATACTCAGAGCCCTCGGCTAATCACCTGCAGCTGAGGGCACCTTTCTCGACATAATATCCACTCCACATGCGCCTGGATCACCGTACCAAGTACGACGTCACATCCAACAGCCGCATTAAATGCGGCCACATGCGATTGTCAGCGCCAACCAGTTGATGTGACCCCTCGGCCAATGGATGCTTGACACGTGTCCCTGTCTGGCATTTATTGCTACTATAAATAGCACCTCATTTCCTCATTTGTAACCAGAAGCAAAATACGCTTAATACATATCGAATACACACTCTCTCTTACTTATTTGCTCTGACTTCTCTCTAGTTATTCTCCGCAATAACCCCTCGGATAAGCTACCTCCGGGTACACCATCCATCAATGAGTATTCAGTAGCATGCAAAAAGTAAGAAACATAGGAATGAGAATATGAAAGGGAAAATTACCTAGATATTACTAGAAGATAACGGTTTTCTCAAAGTATGACCAAAAAACTCAAGCATGTGCGGTATGACTAGTAAAGCATCAGAAGACATGCTCCGTTTAATATGCCCAGAGTTAAATTCCTTTGATGCCCTCAAATCCTCAATAATAGTTGGCCGCTAAATAGAAAGTGGAGTTTACTGAAGACGGTAAGTAGCGTTTTTAGGTTTAAATGCATTAGTATCGATGCATCAAAATAGGAATAAAAAGGACTAGGTCATATATTGGGAAATATATGAAGTTTTAGTCATACTGAGAGATAATTTTAAACGAAAGTGGAAAAACCGAAAGTAAATGGAAGTAGTATTATAAATCTTCTGCAGTTGTTTTAACTAAATAGGTTTAGTTCACTTAAAAGAGTTTTGCTGAGCTATTTGACTCGAACCTAATAAACATCTGATATAGAAGGCTTAACAAGTGTTTTTGAATGAAGCTAGCAAAGCTTACTGAGATGGAGGTAAAGCACAGGTGCAATCAGATCCTAGAACTTGGGTTCCCACTTGAGGGATTAGCGAAGCTTTTTGCTCAAGACTGGGAGGGGGATGTGACTGTTGTAATGCCTGCAACTCTTGCTCAGGTTCTTATTTTTAATTCTTTTACTTCTATCTATTTATATTGAATAAGTAAACTCTAGATAAGGTTTTTCTAATTGAAACAATGTCCACTAATTCTATCCTTTTATAAATTTCCTTTTAATATAGTATTCAAAGCTGCTGCAAAACCCGTCTGCAATGGAGCTACAAAAGGCAGCTAATCAAGGGAGGAGGTGCACTTGGGAGAAGCTCTCAGCCATCAAGGCAAACTGCGGGATTGAGCTTGCACTTGATGAGTCCGTTGCTATGCTGAACCACATGCGCAGACTGAAAAAGAGTGCAGATAGGGCAGCTGTCTCCCACGGAACTATCCCCTCCGTTAGATTCAACGGTTCCAAAAGAATTCCTTCTTGGAATTGCATGGCGCGCGAGAATGTACATGACTTGAGTGACAGTGATCAGTCTGAAAGTGCCGACCTTAGTTCTTGGACACGGTCTGGTGGGCCATTGATGAGGACGGCATCGGCAGATAAGTTCATAGACTTCGTGCATAACTTGGACAAAGGATCAACAATTGACCCGAACGAGCGATCTTGTTCAGATGCAGAGCTTGAGCAAACATATCGGAACCCTTTTACCGGATCAACGACCATCATGGTGACAGAAGGCGATTTTTTGCAGCCTGAAAGGAGTCATAATGGCATTGTTTTTAATGTTGTGAAAAGGGGAGACTTGACACCCTCAAGCATGAGCCATGGCAGTGAGAACACCAATGGTTTTGTGCATGATTCGAGCCTGGAATGTGTCCAACTTGACTGCCTTGAAAAGGAAACCGATACTAGCTCAGATGATGGTGCTGATAGTGAGCTATGAAAATTTTATATTTTCGGCCTCCAAATTCTAAAGTCTACATTTCCACATGTGCTCCTACTGACCACGTTAAGGTCTTCTATTCTCTAGTATCCACAAACTACCAGTCCCTAAGTAATTCAGTTTAGTGCTCCTAAGTTACAGATCACTAATTGAGATTACACCTCATATGTACAGTTCAATATTGCCTGGTGCTCAACATCTTTTCCTCTGGTTTGGGCCCTTGAGAGTAATATCTCTATCATTCTGAAATCTTAGTATTCGATTCTTCGTTAAGAAATCGTTGATTCTTGGTGCATTGTGACTACAAATTTGCATTGATCACCACATTCATTTAAGTCTTCTTGCTCCATTGCTCCAAAACTTACATAGTCGGAATGATGTGCTACTGCTCTATGTTTTTATGCAGTCATTTGCATTATAGCTTAAATGCTTAATATTGATTAAAAACAAATATTAAATGAAATTGATTAGAGTAATGTTGAGTTTAATTCAACATCATATTATTCGGCTAAGTTTAGAGTCACTCATTTAAGAACAAATAAAATAAAATATGAATGAACACATGATTTGTTGGGATTGGAAAATTCTTCTATTCAATATCAAGAACAGAATTACAATAGGAGGAGCAAACTCTCACACTCAACTATTACAAAAAACCAATCCTCACCAATACACTTCTACGCTAAGTGTATTTCACTCTTCACACACTTTTCTCACTTTCTAAACTGATACTATGAACAACAATGGAGCACTCTATTTATAGGGCTGGTTTGGAGACATGAGGAAGTTGCATCCAAGCTTCCTAGTTATCTCCATATCTTCTCCCACACCTATTTGTTGGAGAGCTCTTTCCAAGAAGGTGCCTCCATGTTAAGGTGTCTCTTGGCAACTTCCAAGAAAGAAGGTGGAAGATACCTACAAATCTCCCCCTCCACCTTTTTCTTTATTTCTCTCGTTCCTGCAGTGCTCGCTGGCTCCCCCTCGCTGGCAACAAGTATCCATTCGGATGTGGAATATTTTCTTTGTGGAACTATGCCTCGCATAGAACGTCGAACATGAATACCTTCAGATTCGTCTTCAGATGAAGGCTCCCCCTGCTGAGGAATATCATCACTGTGAGTATCATCATCACCTGCTGAACCATCACTCTCGTGTTCAGTAGAATCATGCATCTCCTCGTCGCTGAGAGGAATGTTTGATGATACAGGCACTTCGTCTTAAGGAGTATGTTGTTGGCGGATTATTGGAGCACACCCATGAAACTCGTTTTCATGAAATACAACATCTCTGCTTCGAATAACTTTCTTCACTTCGGGATCCCACAACCGGTATCTGAATTCTTCATCTCCATAGCCGATGAAGATACATGGGTTTGACTTGAGATCAAGCTTCTGTCTCAACTCCTTGGACACATGTGCAAATGCCTTGCACCCGAACACTTTTAAGTGAGAGTAAGAAACATCTCTTCCTGACCATTTCTTCTCTGGCACTTCAAAGTTTAAAGGAACAGAAGGTGACCTGTTTATAAGATAACAAGATGTCAGCACAGCTTCACCCCAAAATGGCTTAGGTAGCTTAGCCAGACTCAACATGCAATGAACTTTCTCCATAATGGTCCGATTCATTCTTTCGGCTACACCATTGTGTTGCGGAGTTCGTGGAACCGTCTTCTCATGTCTGATTCCATATGCGGCACAATATGCTGAGAATTCTCGGGAAGTGTACTCTCCTCCATTGTCTGAACGCAGACACTTCAGCTTCTTCCCTGTTTCTCTTTCTACCATGGCATGAAATGATTTGAATCGATCAAACACTTGATCCTTACGATTTAAACAGTAGGCCCATACCTTTCGTGATGCATCATCAATGAATGTCACGAAGTATCTGCTTCCTCCAAGTGACTCCTCTTCAATGGGTCCACATACATCAGAGTGGACAAGACTGAGTAACTCTGTATGGTTCTTCTTGGTAGAACTGAAGGAAACCTTGTGTTGTTTCCCAAATAGACAGTGCTCGCATGAATCTAGGGCACCACCTTTGCCCATGGAAATGACTTCCTTCTTTGCAAGAGTTGTCAATCCCTTCACGCTCAAGTGACCTAACCTCCGGTGCCACAAGTTTGGTGATATCTCTTCTTCAACAGCATTGAGACTCGGATGGCACAACTTTGCATGAGTTTTATAAAGAGTGCCACAAATATGGCCTCTTGCAACAACCAAGGAACCTTTAGATAGCTTCCACGTACCTTCTTTGAATCGGTTAAGATATCCTTGTTGATCCAGAGCTGTACCGGAGATAAGATTCAATCTAAGATCCGGAACGTGTCGAACATCTTTCAACACAAGTGCGCATCCGACATTGGTTATTATGTGCACATCACCAATGCCAACAATCTTCGAGAAACTGGTGTTTCCCATCTTCACAGCTCCAAAGTCTCCGGACTTATAAGTTGTGAATAAGTTCTGGTGTGGAGTGGCGTGAAATGATGCGGCTGTATCAATCACCAACTCAACATCATGAGTGCCTACGTGTAAACATTCTTGTTCACCATGTGTAACAAGACACACGTCTGATGACAAACTAACCATGGTCTCACCATCTTCTTGGCTAGTATTTTGACTCGTCTGTGGCTTCTCTCGTAGAAACTTTCTACAATCTCTTTTCCTATGTCCATAATTACTACAGTAATTGCAATATCCTTCGAACCAAGTATTGTTTTCAAAGGACATACCTCTCTCTTGTGATCTTCCGCGAACTTGAGAATTTCCTCTACTTTGACCTTGACCTCTACCTCGACCTCGACTTCTTCCTCCATTTCTGCCTCCCCCTCGTATGTTAGTTTCTGATATGAGGACATATGATTGTTCCGTCCCGGCTTCCTTCCTTCGGGCTTCTTCATTCATCAGGGCATCTGTGACCATCTGCATAGTCACCTTCCCATTTGGAGCAGAATTACTGAGAGTGACAACAAGAGTCTCCCAGCTGTCAGGTAGAGAGCTCAAGAGTAGTATCGCCTGCTTTTCATCTTTGAGAACCCATCCGGTGGTGCTCAACTGATTCACAAGATCCTGGAATTGACTGGTGTGTTCTGACACCGAAATACCCCCACGTAATTTGTGGTTTACTAATCTCCTCATTAGTAACGTCTTATTTCGGGCGGTTTTTGCTTGATACATGCTACCAAGTTTCTCCCATAGTGTGTAAGCACTTTATTCTTGAGCAACATGGTGGAACACACTATGATCTATCCATTGTCGAATTTGTGCGACAGTTTTTCGATTCATTTTTGTCCATTCTTCATCCGTCTTTTTATCCGGTTTCACACCATTATTATCAAGAGGATCCGCTAAATCCCTCAAATTTAGCAAATCCTCCATCCGAGGCTTCCACATATTGTAGTTTGTGGATGTGAGCGCAATCATGGTGTCCGACGATGATTTATCCATAATAAAACGCTCTATATATCTCGTACCTTATTTTCGAAGCCGAATTTGGACAAACGGAGCTCACCGTTGGATCCAGAATGGTCGAAAATGGTAAGAACTGGTCTGACCTCGTCCAAAACTGGTCTGGAAACGGGTGAACCGGCCTCCAAAAGCACGAACCGGTTCGATCCGGTTCAGGCAGCAGCCCAGCCTGCAGCCCAGTAGGCGAATGACGTGGCTCTGCTCCCTCGCTGACGTGGCGATGACGTGTAGCCACGTGGCGTCTGACGTGGTTCACAACGGACGGCTCGGGTGGATGACGTGGAGGATGACTCGGCACCACGTGTCGCTGACGTGGTCCAACGTGGCGATGACGTGGCAGCTGACGTGGATCATCTTCTTCCTCTGGACCGCGTGATGACGCAGTGATGATGCAGGCAGTTTTCCGGCGGCGCGTACGGCCTCTTCCGGTGGCCAAAAAAATCCCCAAAAATACCAGATTTCTCGTCTCGCCGAGACGAATCTAACGGTATGATCAGATTCTGATTCCGAGCAACTTGAAAAATCACGATTTTCTAACCTGTAGAAATTTATCTGAAAATGAGAAAACAGTGTATGGAAACTCAACCTCGCTCTGATACCACTTGTTGGGATTGGAAAATTCTTCTATTCAATATCAAGAACAGAATTACAATAGGAGGAACAAACTCTCACGCTCAACTATTACAAAAAATCAATCCTCACCAATACACTTCTACGCTAAGTGTATTTCACTTTTCACACACTTTTCTCACTTTCTAAACTGATACTATGAACAACAATGGAGCACTCTATTTATAGGGCTGGTTTGGAGACATGAGGAAGTTGCATCCAAGCTTCCTAGTTATCTCCATATCTTCTCCCACACCTATTTGTTGGAGAGCTCTTTCCAAGAAGGTGCCTCCATGTTAAGGTGTCTCTTGGCAACTTCCAAGAAAGAAGGTGGAAGATACCTACATGATTTAAGTCAATTCTCTTCTATTATTTGCTCCAATATTTTACTTGGAGCTCTGGGAGCTTCCGTAGGTGTTGATCAGAGTAGGAGGGAGAGAAATCTTGAATGGGTACTTGGGTAGTCTTCTATTTATAGGAGTAATTTAAGGCTTCTTACCTTAACATGTAATGAAGGCTAGCTATCGGACCTTATTTGTTGTTATAGGCTAGGTGCCATTATAACTTGATAAATGATTTTGGATTTAAAAACTGAAGCATGTGCGGATGTGCCTTTCCCGTCGTATCAGTACGAAACTATAGAGGAGAGACGGTAGATGGCTCACCATATATGTACTTTCTCTTCCTCCTGTTCTTAATTAACTTTACATTTTTCTTTTTGGGCCGTCTTATATTAAAGGAGAATGTTACAACAAAAAAAAGAACGGAAACTGTCAAAAGTCTATTTGATCGTCTTCCCAAAAATAAATTATCAAAGCCAGGTTTCGATCCTAGGACCTGTGGGTTATGGGCCCACCACTTTGATTCAATGTTTAATTTTATGACAAGAATCATACTTAATTTCCAAATAAATAAGTTGAAAATGCATCAGCTCCTATCAATTACTTCCATCCCATTACATAAGAATACATTATAATTAAAAGTATCATGTCAATAAACTATAAAGCAGGTTTCGGAGGTAGGTCCGTGTGTGTATAGATTAAACATCCCATGAGAAGTGTAACTTAACGGCGAATTTCATAAACTTTAAGTCTTTTGATTAATTGATAAAAATATTCTTTCGTATTACGGAGTAAAATTTAACAGGCCATTTTAAGGTTTCTCTCTGTCTCCAGAACTCCTTTTCCCCCGTTTTCCATGGTTCTCTTCGGAGTCCGGATCAGTTGCTTTGTTTTCACTTTAATCCAGCTTTTTTAATTTGATTAGTGCTATCAGTGAGTGATTGAAATAGCTAGGAACAAGTTCATCATATCTAAAACACTTGT